TAAAAATGTTATTCAAAGAAAATTAAAAATAAGCTACTTCTATAAATCTGCCACCTTATGAAAACCCGACTTAAACTATTGAGCTTTAATAATCTAGAATCTAGAAGACATATATTGTTCAGTATTCAAATAAAAAATTGCCAAATTGATGCCGGGAGAGTTAAAACAATAATAGATTTTAGCTTAAATACCAGTACCTGCATTAAGTTGGAAAATATATTTAATACGGTCTTTCATCGAACCAATAAATAGAATATTTATTAATGTTAATAAACATAAAAATATTATTGATTAGTCGTAAAGTAGAGTCTTATTTTCTATCTTACCATAAATTTGTCTTACTTGTTTGTATGCTTTGTCTTGTTCAAAATTTCGGTAATTAGTATAGATAGTATTTAGTTGTAATTTTGTAAAATTTGTTTGAGTTGAACAATAAATAAATAAATAGAATTTGTTTTACTTATAAATTCGCTAGATCCAGAGCATATTATGTTTTATTAATTTTCTCTCAATTGAGAATGTTGGCAACAGATGACAGACACTTATTTCAAATAGAATAGTTGATAAAAATAAATTTAAATAATTTATTTTAAGTTTTATTTTATTATCCAAATTTAAATAGAACCCTTTAAATTAACAATATTAATAATAAATATTTTATCTACCTACTCCTATATACAATGCCAATGTCTAGCGCAAGAACTTTTAAGGTAGAAAGAAAAATTTTTCAAATTAATTTTCACTATTTCATAAAAACGTATGAGTAAGGTTTCTCTGTATACAATAATAATCCTTAAGAAAATCATTAACTATAATATTCTAAGTATGAATCTACATTTATATACAAATATTTATTATACAAGTAAAAATGATGATTTATTAAATATTTTATTTGAATTTTATATTTGTATGGCTTTAATTTATTTTATAATATTTCTAAAATAAATTCAATAAAATGATGATTTGAATAGAATATGAATGTGAAACCTATAATTTTTTTAATAACCACATTTTATTCATCATCATAAATGAATAATATCCTTGTATATAAAGGTGATGATAATGTATTATGAAAATTGAATATAATATGGTGTACTAAAAATTAATAAGGACAATGAGTCTTCATTGTCCTTATTTATTTTTAGTAAAAAATTACAGAGAATATTTCAGTGGCCTCAAACACAAACCGCCTAACTCGAGTTAAGACAAAAATGAGATATGTTTACCAGCGAATTCTCCGTTTTGAGTTTCATATGCTCACAAATTTTGGTGGTTCTACGACTATTGCAGCCGGAGTTATTGTCGGATTCACACATGACCTAACTCGATATGGCAACCATATGCACTTGCACTAATCGCCTAAATCGAGTTAAGAGCAGAAAACATCTTTTTTATGTTTTGGACAAACCACTTATTTCGAGATAGGCTATTGTTGCAAATCGAAATTAGTGACATTTTTTTTTATTTGTATGAATTTTTACAACCGCTTATCTCGAGTTAGGCTTTTGTTGCAAAATTAATTTTGAGTTTTTTTAAATACTAACTCGACATAAGCGATTTGTGTAAAATAATAATTGTTGGTTGTTTAAACTCATCTCGAGTTAGGCGATTATTGCAAATACAATTATATTCCAAAAGGCTTCTTATGTTGAGTTAGGTTTTTATTACGCGTGCAAATAAGAACCAAAAACCAAAGTTAAGCGTTTAGTGTTCGAAATAATACATGATTAGTACAGAATATTTTTTAGTTTTTTATAATAAAAAATACTTTATAACGCTTAACATATTATTTTATGTGATATATAGTGTAGGTACTTTATGTCCATGGTTTAAAACTTATTCACTATAGTTAAAATTAAATCTTACATTCAGCAACAAGAAAATAATTGTATTTTTTAACACAAAATATAAAACATCTGCAGAAGTTACCTGCATTATTAGTGCTCTAATTACCCAAATATCCCATGTTTAAGATTTGAATTTTTTTTTAACAAATAATATTGTAGGTCATTTTCGTGATGTTTTTTTCAATTGACGAAGTTCCCATGTTAAAATGACACGTGGCTAGCTACCTGATGGTAGATTGTTTTGCCTTTGTGGTCTAATTGTATTATTAAACAAAGTGTTGTTTTATTACGCTCTTGTAAAACACATGTTATTAGGAAGATCAAATTTTTGTGTTTAACAAGAGTTTTTATTTTAGTTATTGTATTACAAAGCAATATTTTTATTATACACTAGTAAAACACATTTTTTTAGGAAATTCAAATTATTATAATTTGCAAGGGTTTTCAATAAATAAAATTGGTACGTCTGGGAATAACAATATTTTGTTATACTTTTTATTACTCATTTCCGTAAGATTAAATTTCTTCGATTTTCAAATATTTATGATATTTTTGTTATTTCGAAGGAAGTATTTTTTACAAAGACAGTTTTTTATTATTGTTTTTAAATGTGCTGATGTTGGAAATTGTTAAATAATGCAAAAATTATCCAATATAAACTTTATTCACGCTTAATAAATGTACGTTAAAAATTTTGGAACTTGCTAGCAGAGCTGAGATGATTGTGGCGGATGTTAGAGGTATTGCAATATATTTGAAACTAACATAACGGATTCAGTGTGTTTTAAAGCATAGAAATTAGCGAAACTGGTCCTATAGTAAATAAACAAGTATTTACACTACAGATCTTACTTTGAAAACCGAAGTTAATACAGTTTTGAAAACCGCAATTGACTTTGGTCGTGGTGACTGTATTAATGATCCTGATTTTAAAATTGACAACCTTCAAAAGCAAGTTTTTGAGTCCTATAGGGCATGTGAACATATCTGTAGAGATAAAAAAATATGAAATGCTTTCTACTTTTATTCTTTTAAGAAAAATCCTTTTACAATTTGCCGAACGGTTAGAAAATTCGCTTAATCTTTCGCGACCGGGCTTCCTGAATGCACTCAAGTACATGAACGCTCGAAACTGACTCGTGGTTAATTTGTATGGAGTCTTAATTGAAAAGTAAATGCTGACAGCTTAAATAAAAATGTCGAGCAAACTTACAATATTCTTTGTTTATTTGATAATCAAATACTTATATACTCTATGATAGGAGAGCAAATTCCGAACCAATTTACTTTGCCACAACTTTTTAAGGAGATCTATATACTTTTTACGGCAGAACTTAGAGAAAAACTGACGAACAAACCATTTTCTATATGTAATTAATAATACGTCTCCAAGATTTAATTTTCACAAGTATCGAATTATTATTTTCTATACGAGTTCGAGTTAACTATCAAATTTGACTTTTCATTACAGTAGTTGTAATGACTCACACTCGATTTCATTTTGTTTTTGATTTAAAAATTTTAATTAATTCGCATTTAGTATCATTATGAACAAGTAAGAAAGTCATATGGACTATAGTACATAAATAAAATAACAAACACCAAACTCATAAACTCATTTTAGAGATTACTTTATGTGCTCATTTTTACAATAATGTAACAACTTTGTCTGATCCGTTGCAAAATGAAGCCTTTTTGTAATTGAATTACTTTTTGAAATTCTCTTAAGTGGAAAGAGTCGCACCACAGATTTCAAAAAATTGACTTCCAAAAATATTTTACAAGAACAGTTTATACAAAGATTTTTTATATTTTAAGACGAGGTGTTAACTAGTTAGATTTTCAAGACATGCTCCAAATTGAAGAAGAAGAGAAAATTAGTCCCAAAAAAGAAAAACTTAGAGTACTTGATGCAATTTTTTAATATGTTGGTTTACAAATTTTACAAAACGATTAAGACTGGAGATTTAGCAGATACTCATCCATATGTAGTTGGAGAATCCGAGAGAGAATAAAAGATACTGTCACCTTTCTTAAATTTAATGAAAAAAATATTTTTAAACTTTTAGAAATAATTTTTACTTGAAGTTTATTCATTTCTTACCTCAATTTATGTTTTTTATGACAATGATTTGAAAAAAGAGTGAAAAATCAAATAACGTAAAAATAATACATATATTTCTTCCCTTTTCAATATAACTTAAGTCACCTAAAACCATATTTTCAGTTTTGCAACAACAGCTCAAGTCGACTTAAGTTTGACGAAAATGCAAAAGTAATTTTTCACAAATCGCCTAAGTCGAGTTATGCTTTGCAAAGTGCTTTTTATAAATTTTGTATAACCGCCTATCTCACTTTTTTCATAATTATGAGAATACTATTAGTTATTTTACTTCAGATTATGAGTTAATCGCTTCATTTTTTAATTATCTTTCGATCAAAAAAAAAATTGGCTCAAAAAACTTCATAACTTTTTTCAAAATTAAATTTAAAGTTTAAAATGCATTTATCTCGAAATCACTAAAACAGACTTAAGTCGTTTGTGCTTGAAGCCACTGATTTGATTATCAATCAACTTCTTTAATAACCTTTAAGATGTTTAAAGAACTGAAAGAAAAATGCTGTATACAAAAACTAGAAATTAATATTTTATGGGTTGATGATTTATGGAGAAATTTAAAACAAAATGGTTGAATTCTCAATTTTCTATGTTTGATGTCTAAAGTTAAAATTTTAAGAAAATTGCAGCTTTTTAGAAATATTTTTTACATCAGTTCGAAGGCTAACAATGATCTGATTTTTTACAAGGTCAGTTCCAATTTTTGATAAAACAAGAAAAATAACGTACAGAGGTTTGATTATAACGACAGAATTGATAAATCCCTAATTTAATTTACCATTTGTTTTAACGCAATTCGAAATAGATTGCATTAATAATATAATTAAATACACATTCACTTAAACCTTAAAAAATTAATCACCAACATTCACTGTTACCAATAGGCAAAAGAATATTCATTCAAATAATATTTTATATTGTTGCCGTTGTAATATTATTTAAATATTATTTAAATTTTCAATATTAAATATTTAGAAATTTTTTAAAAATTTTAACAATAAGAAAATTAATTAAAAATAATTTAAATTAAATACCTGTGGAGTTGCTGCTGATGTATAATAATGAAGATTTGAAGGCACAAATGATGATTGATATTGTAAATTATTTGTTTGATCTTTGAAATGATGTTGAGTTTCGTATTTTTGTTCATTTATAGATGATCTAGTTTTATCTTCGGCAGCTAGAAATTAAATTATTTTTAAATATATAACAATTAATAATATTTTCTGAGGTAAAATAAAATTTAGGTTTATTTGTTGAAATATAATGATTTATACTACTCTAATTCCAATATAACAGATTATTGTGTATATTTTGTGTATTATTAACTAATTTAATTTCTTTGATAATTAAATTTTTTATAATAATTTCTTGCATAAAATTAATTTTTTAAGCATTTATTAAAATGTTATTCGATTTATTAATATAAAAGTGGCATTTCATAATTAAAATTTGAAGGAAATTCTAAAATAAATGCCATATTGGTATTAATATCTTATTTATTAATTAAACCGAATGACATTATTGATTAGTATGTCATGCAATTGAATTGAAATTAAATTCGAACATCTTATCAGTGATTAATTTTAATATTAGAATTTTGAATTTTAAAATAAATGGACCTAATATTATACTAAAATAATATAGCATAGTAAAATACTAACAAGTATGTATAAATAGTTTTACCAGTTTTAATAATAAAATTTTAATAAGTAAATATTCCTAAAAACTACAACCCACACACATTTATGAATCATTGAAATTTGTATTTTTTGTTATAAAAATTGTTTTAAATATAAGATATTATAGAGGAATGTTAGATGAAGAAATGTATAGAGGAAGTGTTAGATTTCAATATTGTGACAATTAACAATAATCTCCATAGCTTTTGTATTTTTATAATTTTTAAATTTGGACTACACGTATACTTATTTGCTATCTGTCTCTTGTTTAATAATATACAAATATATTTCTCATTTATTTTTATTTACAATTATGTATGAATTATAATAAAAATTTTAGTCGGAAATAAATCACAGAATTAATAGCAATAATAATGAATTTCTAATAAATTAATTATTAACTTAATAATACTAAAATTATTTAATTTAAAAATGCATAAGTGTAATTGTTTTCCTATAAGTCTTTTATGAAAAATTAGTGATATATCGAATGTGCTGAACTGGTTAATATGAAAATTTTCATTACAATCAAATTCAAAACTTTTTATTATCCTTGACGACAATACATAGAGTTTTTGATTATACTAAAATATATTTCTTGAGTATCATCAATAATAACATATGTGTTATTATTTTAAGGACTACAGCATTCATATTAATAATTTAATTTAGAATTCATTTAATTATTGAACATTATATGCAATATATTTTGATTTCTTGAGAAATTATTGATTTCACCTTAATTAACGCAACAACGTGTATGTAAATTTTTGTTTATTAGAAATTTTTGAAAATTGAAGATGTTGTTATATTTTAAATTGAGCTGGTTTTCTTGAAAATCGTGTAAGTCAATTTTTTCATATATTAAGATATTTAAGGGTTTGCGTTTGAATCAATTTAAAATATAAAACAATAATATTAGTCATAATAACATGATTTGTTTATTTTATGTCTTAATAGAACTCTGTTGAAATTATGATTGTAAGTGGGTGAGAGAAGGTGTCTATACCTCATCAAAATTACCATTAACTTAATCTTTTTAAAAAGTGGACTTATACCACTTTCAAAAAAACCAACTTAATTTTTGCATTTAAATTTCCTATATCTATAAACTTGACGACTTATACATTTTACAATTGTTTTGGTCAAAAGGACAGTATCAAAAATGGAGTTTACTTTCGACAAGGAAATAACCCAAATTATAATTTTCGATAAAAATATCATTCTAACCCCTATTATTAACCCCCAAATTTTATTTAATATAAACTGAACAAATAATTAACTGAAGTTATTAAATTACACAATTATCTAATATGAAATTTTTGCAAACATAAAATGTCCTTGAAAATTATATTCTTCACCATATTTCGCATTAAAATGCTATTGTTGATTTAATTTGTACCTAGAAAAATTTAGTCCTTTGCCTTTTGTTTGTATAGAAAATGAAAATTGTCTGAATATTTCATTTCTGTTATTCATTTGAATTACTTAAAAATAATTAAAATTATTAATAAATATTTTATTGTACCTGTTTGATCTGAATTATCTCTTTTACGTGGTTGACTTTTTTCATCTTTACTTGCTTCAGAAATTTTATTACTTTCTGAAATGGTAATCGACTGGCAGCTGGATAACAATCCTAATAAAAGTATTAAAAAAGTAGCCACCTGTTCAAAAATGAAAAAAGAAAAAAAATAATTTGTAAGGTAAATATTATAGTTAATACAAGTATATATTATATACACAGGTATATAGAATGTTATTTAATTAATAAAATTCATAAACATGTTTTTAAATTTACATATAATTTCGCCTACATAAACTGAATTATTGTGAAAATAATTTTATTTTTAGTTCAATAGAACAAGTGTCTTCGTTTGGTTTGTGTCCTAATTACTTTGAAATTAATTGATGACCTGCCGATGACTAAAATTAAATAAATGACGCATCTTTGAATGCCATTAGTTTTATAGGTTGTTGGGTGAAATTTATTGACTTTTATAAAAATTTTAATAGACTGAATTTTGAATATTTTGCATCTGTCATAAATAGTTATTTGCATAATTATGACTTATAATTCATGATATATAATTCTTTCTATAAGATAGGTTTCTTCGGTAACCATTAATAATGGTTAAGAAAAATGTACCAAGCGACAATTTATAAATTTAATCTATTCTACCAGTATTAGTTCTTGGCTACTACAAAAAATTGCATAAATATCGCGAAAATGGAACTTTCTTTGCTAAAGTGTTTTATTATTGTCAAATTTTGAATAACCGTCTCTTCTTCACCTGATAGATTAAATAACACGTACATACAAGTAGTTTATAATTTAAATTAAAGATTTTATAAGAAAAAGAAGTATAAAATAAACAGTATCAGAAAAAATTTATTAAAATTACTCAACACTTTTAAAATTTATTTTGCAAATGGTTTTGTAACTTTGAAATTATTACTATATTGAAAATAAAGTAATATTATTTAATCAACTGTATAATTAATATCTCGTCCGCCAAGTGCAATAACTTTAAGTCTTTCTTTAGTTTTTTTTAAATTAAATTGATCAAAGTTTATTAATTAAAATTGATAACTTGTGTTTCAACAGTGTTGATATTTGAAGTACCATTATCAGTACTCATTCTATTTATATGGGATTATAATATTAACGAGATAAAATGCATATAATAGTAATTCCCTTTCCACAGCTGATTCTTTTTCATTGTATTTTAATCTAACGCATAATACGGAAGTATGTTATTGAGGCAAGACACTTACTACATATTTTTCCTTAAATATTCTATAAAATTGTAATACTTTGTTAATTAACTTAAAAAACATAGCCAATTTAGCTTTGATTAGAGCACATTTTTATTACTTTGAATCTATAATGAACAAGCACAGATTGTATAAAATTAATAAAACCCAAAAAATTCTTGAAATTTTCATTAAAATTTTATTTTTGAATACTTAATGCAAGACGTACAAGTGGGATAAATTTTCTAGTAGCGTAAATTATTCAGTTAATAATTTTTTTTTCTAGAATTTACTTGTATTATATTTAAAAAATTTTAAAAACTATGTATTTTGTCATTTCCCTATAATAATTGAAGGAAATTCAGCCATCAATTATGAATTCAGTCATCAATTAGAAAAGTCAAATCAAATTTTCGAAAAAAATCAAAATTTTCCATTATTGGCCTTTTTATTAAACATTAAATATGCTGGACAAACCATTTTTAAGATATTTTCCTTTATGTAGAATTAAGAAGGAATTAAATATTTCATATTTTTCAAAAAACTAATATTATGTACTTCTAATTCATTCAATTTTCAACTCCTTCAATTATACTAAATTAATCAGAATGTGCCTTGATACCTTACCTATGACATCGACAATATTAAATAATTTACTGTGTAATTGAAAATCTGTAAAATTTTCATCCAATATATTCTAATTTAATTTATTACCATTTAATTTGATAATGAAAAATTTTGAATTTAACAACATTAGCAAAATTACATAAAATAATATTAAACAAAAATATCCTTTTTTCATATATAAATGTCCTTTAACTGAATGAAATAATGATAATCATTCACAAATTATAATTATTATTTATTTGAATAATATTTATTAATAATAATAATAATAGTAATTACCTTCATTTTTCAATTATTACGTATAATTTCTCAAATATTAAATTGAATTAAAAAAAAAATTTAAAAAAATTGATATTTAAAAGTGGAAATTTAATCCTCTTTTAATTGATAATTTCAAAATGAAATAAAAACTAAGTGTTGCAATTTCAAAAGAAAATCCTTAATAATTGAAAATTTAAAAAAATTTTGTTGTTACTGTTGGTTTCGAAGTTTTTTCCAAAAATTTTTATTTAATTTATTCACTTTAAATATTCACTCCAGTATTAAATTTTTTTTCAATTTTTTGATATTAACAGGAAAAGAAATTATTTTGTAGTGGAATGGTTAAGGAAATTGTACAATTTAATAAATAATTTTCATACTACTTTTGAATATTGCACGCGATTAAATTTAAAAAGTATATTTAAAATTTTTTTTTTTCAAATAATTGTTATTATTTTTGATTTTAATCAATTTAACTGCGATTAAAATGGTAATGAACTTTTTTTTTTTTAATTTTTTATTTCATTTTTTTTTTGTTTCTTTAAAATTTTCATCAATTCTTTTTTAATTCCTTACTATTTTAATTAATCACATTCACATTAAATATTTAATTGTTTTTTTCACTTTATTCCATTAAAAATTTTCTGATTTTAATTTTTATTATTATTTCTGGCTTTATTTTAAAGTAAAGAAGTTGGTTATAGCACGAGCGTTTCTTATACAGAAAAACACCAAATTAAATTTTCCTTTTTAAAAGAAAATTTTTTAAGTACGATTTTTAAAAATTATATAAAAAAAAATTACGACAGCAACGAACGTAATCGTCTTATTAATAATACGATTGAAAGTGAAATTTAAAATTGTATCGAGTTCATTTTTATACCATTTTCTTATTTTATTTTTCTTTTTAATTTTTTTACATAGTTAGTATAGTTAATGGTTAGGCTAGTAAGTTGCATTTTTATTTTTTTTTGGGAGCATAAAATGTGTTTAAATACAAACACTATGTACATACAGAGTATGTACATATAGAGCATACAATGTATAACCGCATATAATATTTTTACTGAAATATTCGAGCAGCATAGGTAAAATGTATGTCCACATGTGTATGTATACATGCAATATGTGTAATAATACCATAATTTTAAAAAATTTATATTTAATTGAAGAAAGAAAAAAGTAAAAAAATAATATCGAAAAATATATTAAATAAGAAATTTAAGAAAAGAAAGAGAAAAAGTAATAAAGAAATTTAAATTGTAACATTTAAATGTATGCGAGTGTGTATAGTGTTACATACAATAAAGCGAATTAATATGAGAGGATGGGATAGATGAATAGAATATGGTTGGTTAGTTTTAAGCTAATTTTACAGTAATGGAAATAGAATTAAGAGTAAAAATTTTTCGATTGAAATCACAACTTTTATCTTTAACAGTTTATCTGTTCTATAGCCAAAAAAATGCATATTATTATAAACGCATATTTTTTATTTAATATTAATTATCTTATACTCGTATGTTTTATTATTTGTAGAAAGTCATTAGACCATTACTATTCCAGAGAAAAAATAGTAACATACTCTTCTTTGGCTCGGAAACCCTCTCTGAAATCAGCCTTCATAGGACCCGTGAAGAACTTAAATGTGAAGTTGGGAAGCGAAATGAAAACTGTGAAGAATATGGCCAGGTCTCAGTAAAGGTAAAAATCTTTTAAATAACAATGATCAAAAGTTGTTCAAAAATTTTATTGTAATGCGAATGAACTAGTTGAAAATTTTCATAACGCTCTTTAATTGGCGATGTCAACTGAACTAAATAATTTGAATTCATAAGGAAAGAGAGTTTCTCGGATAAACTCCGTACACTCGTATACGGGAAAAAATGCTGGCTCTTGTTCCCTATACAAAATACTTATAAATTCAAATTTTACTAACTATTAAATTTTACTATTTTTACGAATTTAATTCATAAATAAAGTTTTTCAAAATATTTTAAAAGAAGTGTCTGGCCACGATATCCCAGAAATAGCTTGTAAAGATTATAATCGAAATCATTTACTAATCCATGCTTACCTACGTTACCTATCTCAATCAAATTTCCACTATTGCATAATTAAAATAAGTAAGCATATAGTGTTATATCTGTGTTGAATGACTAAGTCGTTCGACTCAAATTATCCAAAGACGAATATTTTTATAAGAAAATTTTTTTTATTTTTTATTAATTTGATTTTTGCTTTTGTTTTTTTGTATTTTCCTATTTCATGCGGTGAAATGAAAATCAGAGCAAAAATAATATTTTGATTTGATCTTAATGATAATGATTAATAAGAAAATGTACTAGGAATTTCAAAAGGAAATTTTTATTAATTTTTATTTTCCTTAAAATAATTTTAATTGATTTAAGGAGTATACGAGTAGTAATTTTTTACTCATTTCATAATTTTTATTATTAAACCTTTTCATTTTTCCAAATATTTTCATAAAAAAATTAAAAAAATAAAAAAAAAAAAATTTTGTTGATTGCCGAAACCCGGGATTGAACCGGGGACCTTTAGATCTTCAGTCTAACGCTCTCCCAACTGAGCTATTTCGGCTTATGTAAATATCATCACAAATTATTGTTAAAATACTGTGCAAATCATTGAAAATAATATTTTTAGAAAATAAATGGTAATGAAAAATCTTTATAAAAAATTATGTGCTAAAAATTACCATTATTAATATAAAATTAAATAAGTTCTGATAATAAAGAACATATAACACTGATTAAAATTAAATGTGTAATTTTAATTGAACTAAACGATCAAAGATGAGAAATATTTGACCCACTAAGATTAATTTGTTCATTTTTACAAATTACCATTTAAAATTGAATTCATCCTTAACAGGCACGCTTATGTTGTTGATAAGGGTACTGGTGAAACTTTTAATTATGTCATATATTTAATCTTGTATTAAAATATTGTCAAAAATTTGATAATTTTAGATTTTGCTTTACTAAAACTTGTATTAAGGGGCCAAAAAATATGCGTGTAGGTATACAATTTTTCATTTCATTTTAATCAAAAATAAACCAACTATTAAGCAATTTACATTTCCATTATCTAATCCCCACAACAACAATTTAATTTAATTATATACAAACTAGATTTTACTTGAAATTTTATTTGTGGGAAAATATTTTGTTTTTTTATTTATTTTTAAATAAAGCAAAAGATCTGGTTTTAATTCATGTTTTAAGATTTTTATACTGAAAATTGTTATTTTGTACTTAAAAATTTTTGTAAGCTTCCCCAGTTTTTCTTTTTAATTTGCTTTCCTGAAAATTTTATTCCAATTTTGTTTTACATGCTTTAAAAGTGGGTATACTTACCAAACGCATATGTTTGTGATTTTATCAGTAGCTCTTGATATAATATGTTTTCTTCCTTAGTTAAAAATCTTACCTATATATAATAATATAGCAAATAATGGCAATGGCAATTATGATAATGATAACTCCTATATGTATGTTCCTGATGGCGCTTCCATATACTAATCAAAAAATTTTAATAACATTTAATTAGCAACTATACGTACCTGATATAACGTAGGTAATTTTTATTTCTAAAAAATATATATAATTTATTTGGTTATAATTTTTTTTTTAAATCTAGCTCTTCCTTATATTTATATATTTTGTTCAAGAAAAAATGTTCCTGTTGAATACGATTTCCCAAAACGAATCTTCTAACTTTGAATTTAACCCGTTAAGCCTTGATTCAAATTGAATTTACATTATGTCTATGAATTTGGAATTAAGTTACTTTTAAAACTATACTTTTTTAACTTCCAACTAAAAGGAACTTTCGATAGGAGTAGATATTAAATAAATTTTCATATTCACTAAAGAATGTATTTACGGAATATTTTGAAATTTAATTTTTGAATTCTTCTTGATTTTTAATGAAAATATTTGAAAAATTTGGACGGCAAATGTGATATCAGAAA